TTATCTTTAATGCATCAAAAAATCAAAAAAGTAAATTTTTAAAAAGAAAAAAAAAAAAAAAAAAAAAAAAAATATATATATATATATATATATATATATATATATATATATATATATATATATATATACTGGGTTGCAGTCTCAAGTCAGAAACTAAAAGAAGTCTCCTTATCCCACCACAAAGCTCAAATTTCTCCAAGTGGACATATCTATTTTATTGTGCTAAATACTCATCCCCAATGATGCGTCAGTACAAATATTACAATAGGTAATGTTTGTAGATAGCATCTTGAATGTCTGGAACGTTGGCTTGGGGAAAATGCCATTTTTTTCCCCCCAAAGTACCACTTGAGGAAGATCATTCAAGAAAACCCTCTTTAGTAAAAGATTCAGTTGTCTAATATTAAATGTTTTCTATTAAGTGACTGAAGATCTCTCCAGAAACACTGGTATCATATTAAGACAGATTTATTCTACAGTAAAACAGACTTTTTAAGAAAGAAGACAAAAAATTGACATAAATTGTATGAATATGAAAGCAGATTTTTTTATAAACTCCATCAATTTTACCATAAAATTAATCCGCTAATATTTCACACAAACATTACACGTCATCTTACATTTAAATGGTATGTGAGGTAGTTTTGAAATATTTGACAAAACAGGGGCATTTGACATGAAATACCCACTCGTGTTTGTTATGCATAACCATTAATTTCATATTCATATTGCATATAGGTGGAATGGTCATTTAAGGGCACACTAGTGGAAGCATATGGGTGTAAAAAGTAAATTTCAGCAGACATCACATGCCACAATGCCCCCTTCCTCTAATTTCAGTGGCCTGCCCCAAGGGTGCAATAACAGTTTATTACACCTATCCTCGCTTTATGACCCTTCTCTACCTCCACCCGCTCGCCTTCTAGCCCACGCTAACTGTTATTGAAAACACCCAGGTCTGCCATATATCATTCCTGAGCACCACGGTATGCTATGCACAACAAAGCCAATCAGTACCTGTTCATATGGGTATTGTTCAGGTCACGTTGGACTGGCTCCACTTATCTAATATCTGTTTCGATGTGGAAGTATTTAAATACAATCTCATTTGTCTTTACAGCTTTGGTTGCCCCAAGGCTGAATCTTCTTATTTCCCCCCACATGCATCTATTGTGTAATTGCGAAGGGAAAACCAGATGGAATTGATTTTTTTTTTTTTTTTTTTTTTTCCACATTGCGTGTGTGCATGGATGTGTTTTTGAGTAAACGGTTAAATGGCTTTGGTCTACATTATTGCAAGTGCAAGGATAATATGCACTCAGCTTGAACTGAAAGAGAGAATAGTAAATATTATTGACAGCTATGCATAGTTCATGGTAGCACATAGAATGGATCTGGTATAAAATGCAGAGCATCAGTGAAGATCTTTCAAGGTGGAGGTGTTCAAAGAGAAGAGTAAAAGCTCAAAGGTGACACTGTGACAAGACTCTCACGGAAGGGCCCGTCACCCCTCTGCCTCAGTGCAGGCTTCACTGTCAACCATGAGACTGTGTATGGGAGAAACCACACTGCCACAGCAATGCAAATGAAAATTTTACTTTATGAAATTGAATAACTCTATCCAGCCGACATACCTAGCCTACAGCTCAGTGAGTTTATGAAACATGCTACTGGGAAAAAAAAAAGAAAAAAAAAAGAAAACACTAGTGGCAGAAAACACTTTTGAGGATCTCCTGAAAACTCTCAGTAGACTATCTGCCTATCATAAAGAAACATTACTTGCAATGCTGCTTCTAAACCATTAAGCAACGCGGAAGTTTTTAACAGTCACTGTGTGCTTCACTTATGTTCACACTAGATGTATTATTCTGATCTAATAGTTTTTTGTTTTTTTTTCTCAGAGCTAATCTGTCACTTTATCACTCAGTTGAATGGATTTTTTTTATCCTGCTGTTTGTATTTCCTTTACAAATGCATATTTTTGTACAAGTAAGAATCTGCCTACACCTTTATTTATTATTTTAAAGTTTTCATGACAAATCAAACCATACATGCAAAGTATAATACAGTTGATATAATATTATCTTTTTGTCCTTGTCTTATGTTTTCCAGTCTGTGCTGGCACGGAGAACAAGCTAAGCACTCTGTCGGACCTGGAGCAGCAGTATCGCACCTTGAGAAAATACTACGAGAACTGTGAAGTCGTCATGGGCAACCTTGAGATTACGAGCATTGACCGCAGTCGAGATTTGACCTTCCTCAGAGTAAGGACAAAACAATAAGATGCTGTAAATGAAAAGTTTTGACGTGTTGAAATATGGATCTAAGGCAGAGTTGAAGCCTGTGGCTTTGTAGTGCCGTCTTTCAGTTAGATACAGATATGCCATGCGTGACATTTATATACTTGTTGGAAAAAAGTTTTGTCAAAAATGTTAATGTAAAGCTCATAAAACGTATAAAGCTCATAAAATTTAAATTCATTGAAAATTTAGGACTATTTTGTTCAGAAGCCATTCTGGTTAGCTTGCTAATTTAAACCATTGACTTTTTTGACCCCATGTCTAAATAAAATTGAGATTCGCTAAAGACTGGAATAGATTTCAATACTGTAATAAAATCTGGTTATACTCATATACAAGCCATACCAATAAAGATTTTTTTTTTTTTATTGAACCCAACACATATGTCCCAAAGGAACCTTAACCCAACACTCACAAATACACACACAATATGATTTGTTTCTTTCAAACTTGAAATCAGTTAATATTTTCATTTGAAAGTTTCTCTGAGCTGTAACTTCATGCAAACGACAAGGTAGGTGGTCTTCAGTCGGAATGTTGAGAATAAAGAAACCAGTCTATACAGTTTTGGGGAAATCAGCTGCTCACATTGACCTCTCAGACCTCTCCTGCTAACAAACAGAGCCCTGGACTGTGCTGCCTGTACTCTGCACTGCCAACGCCATCCAACTCCAATTGATTTCAATCTTTCTGGAGGGCATAAGAGCTCCCGTGGTGTTACACTAAAGTGCTGACTGCATTATTGGGCCAATATTGCTGTGAGAATGAACTGGGCTACTGAGGCTTTGCAAAGAAAGCAAATCTCAACCAAAAATCAAGTAGTGTTCTTGTATTTGTCACTACATCAGTAATTTAAAATTAATAAAGAAGAATGGTCTGTTTTTGTCAGGTAGAAGTAGTGGGCTACTTGTGTTTAATCTGTGTTAACTGGCATATCTAGACTGACCAAAAACATTAGAACAACACAGTCATTAAATGTTTCACACTCCTATGAAAGAAAACATATTATATTAAGGAAGAGGGAGCAATGGACGGTTAACTGCTACCATTAGACTTCTGAAGAGACACCTGACCTCATTGACTAAAATTAGGTAGGGGTCTTTGTTTATTTTGTTATGTGTTTGAGGAGGGGGAAATGAAATCTGATTGTAGTTCATCGGTACGGACCCAATTTGAACTATGAAACATGCTCACCTATGCTTTATCTTATGCCTTTTAACTGTGTAACCCGTACCAGCTTGTGTTATATAAAGGGCACATTTGCGGGATGAGGTTGAAAGTCCATTAGTACAAGCCTTTCTTTAGATGCTGACATTATACTAGTCATTTACAAAACATCTCCCTGTGGCACCAACTTGCCAGGGTTCTCCACCTTTTCATGGTGGGCAATTAAAATGGGTTAATTGAAGATGCTAATTAGAAACATGAGGTGCCAAACAGCAAGGGAGCCAAAGGGCAAGGTGCAGTATGTATTTTTAGGAAATATTATTATTATTATGATAAGAGACATTAATAACATTGCTCCCCTGGGAGGGAAAAAATAACCTTGAGGTAGAAAAGAAGTGAAGGGGAAAAAAAAAAAAAAAGAAAACTATTGTGCTGGAGCTTACCATACCACCTGCCTTGGGAGGTGATTGAAACTGATGCTTGTGCATTGGCTTCTTTTGAAGATAGCCAAAAGATTGATGGCTGCCTCCCAAAGCCCCTCAAACAGCTTTAGCAGTAAACAGAGTCCATCTTCCAAACTGCCACCACGACAGATGAATCAACGCTTTCACAGTGATTAATAACTGCATTTCAGCACACAGGCTTTTATTCCCTCACACATATGCACATTGTTACAAAGACTCCCACAGTCAGCTTTTAACCGTATGTACAGTATGTGAGAATCCAAATCCTTACTTCTTTGAATATGTTTCCCATATTTTACGCACAGAAAGCATTTGCATACAAAAATTGGAAATTCCAACCTAAGCATACCTTTTTATGTGCCAGATGGCAGAAAAAGATAAAAGGAATGGTAGCTAGGTATTATCTTTTTTTTCAATGTCCCTTTTAATCAGTCTACAAGAAGAATACTGTTGTTTACTTTCCTCCTGTTAGTGTCTTCTGCTTTGACAAAATAGTTTTTAACCATTTCCGACCAGCTTTTGTCGTCTTCTCTCAATTATGGTTATCGCTCGTAACATACACGTAGTTGCAGCTGTTTTATTTCTTAATAGAGCTGATTTGATAGAATCACTGCCTATATTTTTAGCTTAAATCGGTGATGTTGACAGACATTTGCAATAAGATTATATGCTAGCTTGTGTAGTCTCAGTATCTTTAGAAAGTTTACTTCTTAGCAAAGGATGTACCAAAAACTAGGACATCTCATAATTAGCACACTGAAATAAAATGCCAACGTGCAAAACACTTTGTTAAACAGGAGTTTATATGTTTAGAGTTGACTAACTTATGAGAATAAATTGGAATAAATTATGCAAGATGTCAATTAAATAAAAACCAATTATTAAATCATCCAATTACACCCGGTGTATGTAAATACTATACCATACTATGTTTTAAACATTCCAGGTCATCTAAATAGTAGACATTTTATCTTTACATGAGAAATCAGCGATAAGTGGTGCAAACTTAAAATAACTTTGTATGAAGAGGCAAATATAAGTATGTAAGAAGATGTTTTACTATTATTTGATTTATGGTTAATCTTACAAAAGCAAAGTCATTTTACCTTGATCACAAACTTTGTTTTGTATAAAAAACATAAATGCTTTTTTTATTATTAATATTTTCTCAGGATTAAGGGAGGAAAACATTTATTTCAATAATGTCTCTGATGGGGGTTTAGTTAATGTCCCTTCAGCCATAACGGGTGAATATACATTTTTTTATTTTTCCTTTTCTTTCTTTGTTTGTTTTGTTTTGCTTTGTTTTAATATGAATATGTGAGTCCCTTGAGCAAAATGTTTGCTCACTCCTGAAGCATCCATATACTATTAACTCGTAGATGGACCCTTCTCTAAAAAGGTCAAGTCAGCTAGGACTGAAAGTACGGGAGGACATTTTTACTGCTTACATTACTTTTATATGAACTACCCTGCTGTGTGATCCCCAATGAAAATGACCAAAGAGGACAGTATAAACACATTACCAGTCATGTAGACATCAACCTTTCAATTTTAACTATGTAGGTTGTTCCTTACTGAAGTTACAAGATGTCTTTAACCTTTAGTTGCCGATTAGTCTATTCCTGCTCACTGGCGCGCACATTGTGCTCTCCATCTGGTGAGCATCACTGTGACAGCTGGGAGTTATTTGAACAAGTGTAAGGTCAAGTGCACAATTCATTGAAGAGTCACTAAGGGCAGCATTAAAAGACAAAGACCATAATTTTCCAAAAGCCCTATTTCGATCTAGAATGTGATATCAGTGGCATCTACGGCAATCTTTTGTTGAAACTTTTTTTTCTACCCTTAATACAATCAAGGTAACAGTTTGATAAGCATGTTCTCTATATTACTTCCATTTAAACATAAACATTATTATTTTACATTTACCCACCTAAGGAAATTTCAGGAAACAAAAACAAAAAAATGCTCTCTCATGTTCATGTTATAATGAATTCAATCATCAAGTAACCATCAGAAGATAGACACACTGGTTATACATTCAAATTCAAAAATACCTTTTTGATCCCAATAAAGCATGGATATGGCTCAGGTAATACTTTATATATAACACTCAGACATACTACTCAGGTTATGGCTTTTAAATTATGGAATCAATGCCTTAGATATTTGAGGAAATTTAGAAATGTGAAAAACATATTGATAACATTTAATAAAGCTGTTGTCACAAACTTTGTTGACAAGTCTAAAAACACTTCTCAGTTTAGTCTAAGTGTAAAGAAATGATATGGCTTAACATTCTTAATAATTCCATTTCAACAGAAAATATATTAATTGAGAGAGCATATAGCTCAAAATGTTGCTGCATTTATTAATTGATAGAACACAGAGCTCTCACAACAGCCACATTTCCATTTATTTGTGGGCCCATGAACGCAGCATGGTGATCAGTAGAACACATCCTCCTGCTTCTATCTGTGTCAGGATTTGCTGAATTGGGTCATTAAACCTATGAAAGGATTGTGGAAGGAAACCCAAAAGATTTGACCCAAGTCATACAGTATAATTATCCTTGATACTGATCAAATGTAAACTTCCGAATTAGAATAAATTTACAGAAAAATGACTTCAAAAAAAACATTGCTAAGTTTTCTGGTGAAGAAAACTTAGCGAGTGGGCAAAATTTTGGTTATTCTAACTGACTTAAAACACAAGAAGCTCTGTCTGATTTACCGTCAAACACTCAGAAAAAATGTGAATGAGTCTTTTTATATGGTGTATAAATACATGGTTTAAACTCCATTTGTATTTTACATGGTGTCTGAGTTGCAATGCTCATGGCCTAAAAGTTTTTAACATGTCCAGAAAGTCTGTGGCATCCTCTCTCTGGGGTCAAATTACTTCATTGACAGTAGTCTGTCATATGTGAAGGAAGGCCATGTTGGAGAATTATTTACTTAAAGTTTCAGAGATATGAGTAATATGATAAATGCTATAATTATTCTTGTAGATAACTTTTTTCTTTTCTGTCTATTATCAAGTTGCATCATAAATAGTACAATAGTAATAATAGAAAACCAACTAATTATATATTCCTTTTCCCACAAAATGTAGAGGCTTCTGAAAGTGAGCCTTGTTTCATTATGAAATGGGAAGCTCTGTAGATTTGTAAAATCTAATTTGTGCTCAGTACTATTGTTTTACAGGCTGCAATAATCTGGTTGAATTAACACTTTGGAATTAAATCTGTCAATAATCTGTCAAATCATATCTTTTTTCAGTATCATTATATTAACTTTATTTATTTGATTCATCTGTCTTCTTTGGTAT